CCATCCATCTTCAGAACTTTTTCATCTTCCTGACCCGAGATTCTGGATCCACTAAACAGTAACTCTTTGTTCTCCACTCCTCCAGCCATTGGCAACCACTGTTCTACTTTCTGTCCCTATGACTTTGACTACCCTAGGTGCCTCATACAAGCAGAATCCTATAGTGACGAATGATGTATTTAACTTACCGTAATGTCCTCCAGTTTCATCCCTGTTGTAGCATACACCAGAATTTCCTTCCTTCTTAAGGCTGAATAATATTTCATTGTCTAAATATACTCTAAATATATTACATTTTGTTTATCAGTCAGTAGACACTGGGTTGCCACCAACTTTTGACGATTGTGAATAATGTTGTCATGAACATGAGTGTACAAATACAAGTACCTGCTTAAGTGTCAGCTTTCAGTTCTTTTAGGTATATACTAAAAAGCTGAATTGCAGAATCATATAATTCTATGTTTAATATTTTGAGGAACCAGCATACTTTTTTCCACAGTGGCTGTACCATTTTACATTTTTACCAGCAATACACAAGGGTTCCAGTTTCTTCACATCCTCACCAGAACTTAATGTTCTGTTTTGTTTTGTTTTTTTAATCATCATCATCCTAATGAGCATGAAGTGGTATCTTGCTGTGGAAAGTGGATCTCTTAAACTAGTGATTTGCACTGTTGGTTGTACATTAAAATTGCCTGGGGGAACTTTAAACTCAACCCATCTCTAGATTCTTCTTTTTTTTTTAAACAGGAAATTTATTTTTTATTTTTTATTAAAAATTTTTAAAATTGAGTTGTAGTTCATTTTTTGGAGGGGAAGGAGGGAGGTAATTAAGTTTATTTTTTTATCTTTTTTTAATGGAGGTCCTGGTTTCAGTTCCCAGGACCTTGCAAGTGCTAAGCACACACTCTACCACTGAGCTATATACCCTCCTGTGTGAAGTGTAGTTGATTTACAATGTTAGTTTCAGGTGTACAGAAAAGTGGTTCAGTTATACATACATATAATTATATATATATATATATATATATATATGTATTTTCTTTTCAGATTCTTTTCAATTATGTTATAATTATATATATATATATATATATATATGTATTTTCTTTTCAGATTCTTTTCAATTATGTTATAAAAAGACATTTCTAGATTCTGATTTAATTTGTCCTGGGTAGGACATGGGCATTGATGCATTTTAAATATATCCCTTATGAGGTCTCTGTGTGAGGCCAAGCTTGAGAACCACTGGTCGAGATATAAATCATCTATCCAAAGCAAAAAATGGATGTTGGGGAATCAATTACAGTGTTCAGTACTACTCAGTACTGAAGTACTGAGTTTTCAGTAGAGTTTTTGTTCTTGTTTACTATAGCTAACTCTGAATTATTCATAGAAATTTAGAACCAGAATAGTATGTCAGACCAGGTAGCAATAATGAACAGAAAATACACTGCTTGCTGCTTAATTTCTTCACCCAGCAAATATTTTGTCAGAATTGGCAACAAACACTGTGGTAAATTGACCAGTTCTGCCCTTTGGCTAGACATTCTCATTTTATGCGGTTTGTTTGTTTTTAACAGCGTTTTGAGATTTAATTCGCATGCCATACAATTCAGCCATTTAAAGTGTACAACTCAGTGGATTTTAGTATATTCACAGTCATGACACCATACCATATGTCATGGTATTTGTTTGTTTTTTAAGTCTAGATTAATGGAAATGCAGTTTGGAATGAAGTGACCTAGGAGCTGACACTGAGCAGAAAAAAAAGCAGGAAAAGAGTCTCAATGAGTCACACATACGTAAACAATTCTTCACAAAGAAGATTGCACTGTGCAAGATTTAAAAGGTAAGAGAAGACTAAATTGACAGCAGATGATGATAATGATGATGATGATGGCGATGATGATGATAAACTCACTAGCCAAAAAACTGGGTTCACCTCTTGGGTGTCAAACCAAAGAGTGGGAGAAGGAAGGATTACTTGTAGCAAGTAAGAACACTGGGGATCTTTCCCAAAGCAGAGTCTCCCCAAACTTCCCCCAACCCAGAAATTGGGGAAGCTTTAAGCCAAGGGTTCATGCACACTCATGAAGGGGCTGGAGCAGAGGAGAATTCAGCATAGAACTGGGGCCAAGGTCCAGAGTCCAAGCTTTAGCTGATTCAAGTCACATCATTAACATCACCTTTCCCTCCTCCAATGGGTGCGGTCCTTCATTCCTGCAGAGCTCAAAGACTGTATCAGATTGTTATGTAAATCTCTTGAGGAGGAGCTAGGACTCTGTATTTTATCACTAAAATATTGTTTCTCGGCTGCTTTTCCTTTATTCCTGCACTCCCTCAGTTCCCTTAAGATTATTAATTACTGAGACCCGTTCAAGGGCAAGCATTGTGGTCACAAAATGGCTTAGACCAAAAATGGCTTCTCTTACGTCAAGAAAGCCATGCCTGGTTCTCTTTCTCCTGGGACCCCCTATGCTATCTGCTTACAATATTGTTAAAACTTGGTGGTGCCAACGTGACCACAATGACTTTGAGCCTGAGAACTCCATCTAAGTCAGCCGATCAGTTCTTGTGCTGAAATCTGGCTTCTTTACCAGCTGCTGTGTGTTAACCGCCTTCCCAATGAATTGCTACAAAAACCAGTTGTTCTGGTTTCTCCAGGAGCTGGAGACAGAGACACTTCTGTAAGTAAGTCTTTTTTGCCCATTCATCTGAAGGAAATGTTTGTATTCAGAGCCCTTAGCTGATTGTAATCCTGGGTGTCCTTCATGACCAACATCCAGGAGGTTTAAAGATTGCTGACCCCCTACCCCGGGGTTCGCTGTAAGTGCGTTTGTCCCCCTGAAGCAGAATGAAACTATGAGGACCACCCTAAGAGCTGCCTGTTTCCTCACCCAGCATGGCCCAACTCTCTCCCTGTGTTAGCAGAGCTTGGCCACTGAAAGGTGTCTGAACAGCAGCAGTCCTCAAGTTCAACTGGCTTATTGATTTACATTTGAAATAGCTGTCTCAGTGCTAATGATTATCTCATTACATCCCCTTTGTGAATGTAAAAGACCCACAATGAAGGGCACAGAGAAAAAGTCTGAATGTAATCAGATGACTCAGAGCTGATTTCTTCTGTGGAAACCAGGCTTCATTATTCCTGAGTTATTAACATATTGCTTATTATGTTTTATACCTAAGAACCCGGCACCGGCAGGTTTCTGCAGACCCCTTGTTGTAGTTACAGGTGGGAAGAGGAAAACTCCAACTAGGTTCAGTAGTTTTAAGCTGCACAGCTAGCCTATTAAATAATGTGTATGTTACACAAATATGTAAAACAGCAATTCTACTTTATTAACAAAAATAATTATTATCTTTAATTTTTTCTTTTCAAAAAATTGGGGTAAAAGATACCTAACAAAATTTACCATTTTAACCACTTTTAATTGTGCAATTCAGTGACATTAAGTACACCCACACTGTTCTGCAACCATTAATCCATCTCCAGACCTTTTTCATCATCCTTAGCAGAAACTTTGTAAACAATAACTCCCTTTCCCCCAGCCCCTGGTAACCTCTATTTTATTTTTTGTCTCTATTAATTTGCTTGTGCTATGTACCTCATATGTGGACTGACACAGTATTTGTCCTTCTGTGTCTGGCTAATTTCACTTAGTATATTTTCAAGGTTCATCCATATTGTATCAGAATCTCATTCCTTTGTAAGGCTGAATAATATTCCACTGTGGGTTTATACCACATTTTGTTTATCCATTCATCTGTTGGTGGACACTTGGTGGTTTCCACCTTTTGACTACTGTGAAGCATACTGCTATGAACATTGGTATGCAAGTATCTTTGAATCCTGACGTTTGATTCTTTGGGGTATATACCCAGAAGTAGAATTGCTGAATGATGTGGTTATTATCTTTCATATAACTTCACAATGTATTTATCTTTAATGTCACAACAGCCCTGAAAGTCTGCTTGTTTTATCTTCATATCAAAGGGAGAAAATGGAAGCTTGGAAAAATTGAATGACTGAGTCTCTGTCCTCTCTGTATTTGCCTAAAAACAGGATATAAATTTGTAAATGTGTTCCCACCCAATCCACCACCAGAAGGACAGCGGTTAATCACTGGAGAACCTTGTCTGCACATAACAAACCTGCCAAAAACTAGCCCTTCTTTACCCTTAGTTCCGCATATATTTCCCTTCCCACCACAATTTACTCCCCCTGGAAGCTCCAAGTCCTTTTACTTTATCTTGTCACTTCTCTAAAGATGTACTGTTCTTTTGTTAAGATGCTACTCAAGCCTGAGTTCTTACCACCTCTTTAAGTTACTCATTGCTGATTGCTCCTGTGTGCATGCCTGATGCATGTGCTAATGTACATATTTGTTTTTCTTTTGTCAGTTTTTCTTTGGTCAGCTTCATTGACAGGGCCCTAGCCAGAGAACCTAAGATGGGTAAGAAGAGAAAAGATTTTTTTCCTCCCTTATATTATCAAATAGCAGTCAATTTAGACCCATCACAGAGTCTAGGATGACACTGATGGGTGAAGGTGGAGGTTGGAAGAAAATGAGAGATTCATCCTGTGAATTACATAGCACCAGTTTCATCCTTTTAAATATGTAATTCCTCACTCTTGCAACTCTTGGAACAGAGTTCCCCTCCCTGGCACTGAAAGACTCTGCTCTCAACATACACGGGTCAGTGGTTCTCAGGTTTTTATCACTTTGGATTTACCTACAGGCTTCTCAAGAATGCAGGCTCATGCCCCCAAAGACAGTGGCATAAGATAGTTCATTCTTGGAATAGAAAGAATGTCAGGAAGGGAGTGGGGCAGGAGAAGGATGGGGTGTAAAATTAAAAGGCCATCTAGCAGAGCTCCCCACTTTTGCCCCACCATCTACTCTCTGCACAAAAGCTGATGTTATCCTCAGTATTTCTCTTCTCTGTTTAAAATGCTGTGTGAGATGATCCCATCTCCTGAGACGAATGTCAACATCTTTCTCATGGCCTGTAAGGCCCTGCATCACCTGGCTTTCTGCCACCTTTCTGATCTTGCCTGACCTTGCTCGTCCTTAAACCTGCCAAAAGTACAGTCACCTCAGGGCCTTTGCACTTGCTATTTCCTCCACTGGGAGGGCTTACACCTTACCTCCTACAGATCTCAACCTAAGAGATGACTTAGAAAGGCCTTCTCCTGAGTATTTATAACCGCCTAACATATGACTTATTTTACATGTTTATTTGTTCATTGCCTGCTCTGTGAAAGTGGAGACTTTTTGCATCGTGTCCCAGTTGCAATGATATAATAGAGCACTTCTTTGAAAAAACAGGGTAAATAATGTTTTTTAAATGACACACATACTTAAACTTTATAAATGTGCAGTCATTTGCCAAGCTCTTGAGGTAGGACCAGACCTTTTCTTCTATGACAGTGTCAGTTGTTGGACCCCTTCTGCCTGATTTGTGCAGAAGGACCTTTACTGGAAGGCTCTGTGGTGGTTGCTGAACTGGGGGAGCCTGGATCCCCAGCTGGGCCTGGGAATAGCAGAGGACCAAGACCCAGAAAACGGCAAGGACAGCCACTTGCCTCTAGCACAGTCTGGTCAGCACACCAGCATCCCCCTCACCTCTTCTCAAGACTCGGAATCCAGAGACAGAGCCGCTCCTTGGCCAAGTGCTCGTTACATCCCCAGCTGAAGTGGGCTGTGGACGGTGCTCTCTTGGGCCTGCTTCCCAGCAAGAAAAGGATTACTCACCCACCAAGGTGTTTCCCCAGGCAGAAATCGATGTGTTATTGCAAAGAAAGGATGGATGTGGGGTAGCCAAAAATAACAAATGCCAGCATGTGGACTCTGAACAACAGACACTTGTGACATGGACACAGCATGACAGATGCCAGGACACTTGTCCCCTGAGGCAAACTAGTAGATCACATTCTGATCTTTTTTGGTTTGTCATTCATTTAACAAATGTTGTTTTGCATATACCATTTTTAAGATTTAAATAGCATTAGCATGCCATCGGTCATCCACTGAAATCACTCTTGCTGATTACAAACCTTGCAAATAATAATAAGCCATAGAGACTGACTTTTGATTCACCCTGTACAGGGCAAGGTATGAGGAACAAGGTAAATCACCCAGTCATTTGTATATAAATAAATCAGGTTATTATAACTATCCATAAAGAGAAGTGTTGAGAATCTAAGTTTAAGAAGAGCCAGGGGAGGAAAGTAGATAGAACTTAATAGGAGTCCAACTTGGAGTTAGATAGACTTGGGTCTGAATCTTTCCACAGCATTTAGCTGTATGACCTTTGTCAAGTTCCTTAACTTCTCTGAGCCTTTTCCCTTAAAGCTCTTAGCCTATTGCTTGTGCTCAGAAAGTGGTAATATGTTAAGGAATATGACTGTGATGGTAACTCCTCTCTACTATTACTTAAGTTAACACAACAGAAAATGGATTTGAATTGTTGCAAGACTGATTTAGGCTACATGTAAGAAAAGATTTCCTGCTTGTTAGCATGCCCAAGTTAGAGACAGAGCAGGACCTGGGTTTCCAGGGGAACCAGGCAGGGCTACCTGGGGGGGTCCTTCAAAGATAGGGGCTGAAGGTAAGACCATGGGGGTGGCCTGGAAGGAAACCTCTGTCTGGCGGAAAATCTGAGTTTTATATAGGTGTTGGGCTGGGATCTATGTGGGCTTCAAGACCAACCCCCCCTCCAACCTCATTTCTCCAACTTCATCTCCTGCCTCTTGTCCCATCACAGGCTGCTCTCTACACTTCAGCTGCTCTGACCTCCTTTCTGATTCCCCTACCTGCCAAGCTTTTTTCTTCCTCAAGTCTTGTATTCTTACTGCTCCTTCTCCCTGAACCTCACATGACTGGCTGCTTCTCATCATTCACGTTTCAGAGATGTTACTTCCTTCTCAGAGAGATTCCCAATTGAAAATTGATACCCTCTCCTCCTCACTCTCTACCACATCAGACTGACTTACAGTCAATCCTCATTATTTGCAGATTCTCCGTTTGCGAATTCGACTACTCGCTGGAATTTATTTGTAACCCTCAAATCAATACACGGAGCACTTCTGTGGTCATTCGCCGACATATACAGTGGCAAAAATGTCAGTCACCAGACATGTAAGTTCCACGCTGAGCTGGAGAAAAGCCATCTTATTTCTTCTTTCTATTCTCGTATCGAGAGGAGACTGAGCACAAACTATCTGAATTGTCCCTTATCTGTGTCTTCTGCTTTCCTTCTTACTATTTTATTTTTTATTTTTACTGGAGGTCCTGGGGATTGAACCCAGGACCTCCTGCGTGCTCAGCATGCACTCTACCTCTGAGCTATAGCCTCCCCCTGTGTCTTCTGTTGATTATTGCTCATCTGCATGCGTCGGAAGTGGAGGTGCTCTGAGAGTTGTGGCCTTGGCTTCCACATTCAGTGTGTAGCAGGCACTTAATAAGTATGTGTCCTATTAATGAAGGGATGAATGAAAAGATCGGGCTGTCAGCACTCGGGAGGGAGGGTCAAGAGCTGGGAGAGTCCATTGATGGATGACTACAGAAGAGATGAAGTTATGTGTGTCAGTGTAGGACTCATGCAGACATAGCCTTTTCTGTGTTGCTGACGTGGCCAGGGAGGATGCTTGTGAGGCAGACTTCTGAGTGTTTACCGGACGCCCAGAATGCAGTGTGGAGTAGGTGGGGCAATAGCTGTATCATAGAGCAGCCATGGAATAGGCTGTTTTTGTGAGTCAGATGCCTTACTTGGTGTTGTGCTTCCATATTCAATCCACGCAACTACGCCAGTGAGGGTGGACTATCACCTAAAACAAGTGAAATAACTGGGCTAGGATCCTGGAGCTACCCAACGGCAGAGCTGAAATTCCAACCCAGGCCAGTCTGACCCCAAACCAGGACCCCAGCTTCAGTCCTCTCTTTTTTGCACCTGCACTTACCATGTCTACTATCACTTACTTCACATTTTTTTCTTTAAACTGACAACCCTTTTAATCAAATTTATTTTCATAGGAGACTTTATTGGCTACAGTAAATAGAAAACGTGTCCCTTATCATGAGAAGAAAATAATTTTTTAATACATGCAAGTGAAATAAAATGTTCTTACATTTCGGCCAGCTACTGTTACCTGCTTGAAGTCCCACTTTCTCTTTGTTTGAAATGGAGGTTAGCAAGCCTTGGCGATCTGTTCGAGACAGAGTAGAATTCCCCCTGTGAATGTCTTCTTTACCTAATCCAAGGGTAATTGAATGGAGAATAATTGTCTCACTGTGTGACTCAATGATATTTAATTCCCATGCCTCTTGATCACACATAATCTTCTCATGTTCCTCCTAAAATTAATTCCTGTCCCACCCCAGGCTTTGGGAAACCGCTGCTGACCTTTACGGTCTTAGCCCTTGATGAGTTTCACTTCTGAAGAGCATGAGGAGGCAAAGTTGATGTTATGGAAAGTTGTAGAGGGAATTTAAAGAGCTAGAATTGCCAACGCCTTGAACTGACATCTGATCCAGTCCCTGAAAATAGTCCAAGGGAGCAGTAGCCCCAGACAATGAGTACTCTGCCGTGTTTGCTCTCTAGGGATGCATCCAAGTCATGATGCATGGCTTGAGAATGTTGATAAGGGTCATCAGAGGACATCAAAATTCATACGGAGGGCGCAGCAGGGCACTGGTGATTTTGAATGGCACCCAGTCCATAATAGGCGGACAGCCAATTTAGAATGTCTATGTAAAATTTCTATCTCCCGCTCTGAGACTTCCTGTGCAGACCTTTTGGGAAATCAGTCAATAATTTGATGTACAGAGAGGAAGTAAAGATACACCCAAATGAGCGAAAGCAGAAGGGGTGGGGGTGGTGTTGAGAGAAGCTGGAGAGTCTGTAGGATTCCCCTGTGGAGTCTTAAGTGACAGGGTCTGATGTGAGAAGTGATACTGGAGGATAAGATGCATTTTTCTAAGACATATGAGACAGCCTGGGGTTTAAGTCAAGTGTGATCTTGTGACACCTCAGAATTGGTTGATAGCTTGGGTGGCTGAGGGGAGAGGCTGCTAGAGAGGCTTCGGGGAGAGAAGAAGGAGTGTGAGCGGTGAAAGCAGCCACACTGTCTCCTGCTTCTCTCTCTCCCCTGCTCTTCACCTTTAGTCATGTTTACAATCAACGTGCCTGCAGTTAAAAGGTGAGACAAGGAGACCCAAGGGATCTCTATGTTCCACTGTAATTTAATTATTCAGCACATAATACTCATCACTTATTATATGCCAGTCACTGTGCTGGGCAATGGCAGTCTTAGACGACTAAGCCAAGTCCACGCTCCTAAGGGCTTCTTGGTTGTGGTAGAAACATGCTAATAATGATGAATAAGTGCACCTAGAATACAGTATAATTGTGAAGAGCAGTCGGCTTTGGATTAAACACACATGCCTGAGTTTGGTTCTGTTTAGCTGTGCAAGGTACTTTATTCTGTGCACCTCAACTTCCTTCCCTGTAAAATGGGCTTATTTGCGAGGCTTAAATGAATGAATCCAGGTAGAATTCTTGGCACAGAGCCTGGGACAGCAGAAGAGGTCCATAACTCAAAGCTAGTATTACTGATATTTTAATCAACAAAGTAAAAGGTGAAGTAGCCTAAAGGAGGGAACATATGGGTAGCTGGGGAGGCTTCCTGGAAGAGGTGGTGGTTTCTTAGTTGAGCTTTAAAGGCTGACTAGAAGTACTGCAGGGTGACGGCGCAGCAAGCATGCGAATGCACACTCCCTTATTAGGAGGCAGCAAGAGCACAGAAAGCAGTGACCCAGCGACATGAAGTAGGTTGCTTAAACTGGTTCACATAACCTGCTATTTTCATAATTACAGCTGTGTGGAAGCATATCATTTCTTCTACTTCCCAGCTCCCAGTTTCTAAGCCGTGTTTGCAGATGTCAATCTATAAGAGAATCACTCAGGGAATTAATGAAGAATGCAGTTGCCTGGGTTCTTGTCCCAGAGATTCTGGCTCTGCAGTTCTGGTGTGGGGCCCAGGATTCTGCTTTTCAAATAAGCATCCTAAGTCACTCGGTTGCCAGTGGTCCACTTTGAGAAACCCTATCTAGAGTTCTAGCTCTCAATTTGATAAATACTCAGCTAGATCTAAACTGTACACAGAGATGACACCCAAGTCCACGAGTGAAGATAAAGTGGAGTATAATTCAAAGTGGCTTTGACTATCTATTGAGAACTATCCTTTGAAGACCCACATACCAGGTCTAACTCTTAGCCCATTTTTCCATCAGCATTGGAAGTACTTGCTGTTTCTTAGTTCTATACTTGGCTTACTAGGGGCCCATGATGTACCAAAACATGCGTATCTCTAAACCGGCACAGTCCACTAGAACTTTCTGCAGTGTGGTAATGTTCTGTATCTATACTGTGGCTATTGAGTATTTGAAAGGTGGCTAAAGAGACTGAGGAACTGAAAATTTAAGTTAATTTAAATAGTGGGGGAGGGTATAGCTCAAGTGGTAGAGCACATGCTTAGCATGCATGAGGCCCTGGGTTCAATCCCCAGTATCTCCTCCAAAAATAAATAAATAAATAGACCTAATTGCCACCCACTACAAAAAAAAGTTTAAAAAAATTTTTAATAGTCACATGTGGCTACGGCTCTGGACAGCTGGGTTCTAAACCCTGGGACCATGCTGAGCATAAAGGGTGCTCCTTCTGTGGTGGGTCTGGGGACTGAGACGTCCTCGGGGGCCAGCAGGTATATGTCCCTCCTCCTGGGCTCACTCTCTGGGTTCTGTGCTCTTTGAAGAGAGTGGAAGGCAGAAACACCTGCATTATTTAAATGGTGATTCTCTTTCTCTCTCTCTTTCTCTTTTTCTCTCATATATGGTTGGATTTACCAAGTTCAATACATGTATAATATGACTCCACTGTGTAGCTTTTCAAAACATCCCCTCATGCCTCACAATCTGTTTTTTCTGTGACGTATACAAAATTTTAAAGGCCTACAGAATAGGAGAGAAACATTAGCAAATCATGTATCTGATGAGATTATATCCAGAATAGATGAAGAACTCCTATAATTCAGCAGCAGCAACAACAAAAACAACCCGATTAAAAAATAGGCAAAGAAAAAAAAATGAGCAAAGGACTTGAATAGAAATTTTTCGAAGAAGATAAACAAATGGTGAATAAGTATATGAAAAGATGCTCAGTATCACTAATCAATAGGGAAATGCCAATCAAAACCACAGTGAGAAACTACCTCACACCATGGCTACTATCAGACAAACAAACCAGCAAAACCAGAAAGTAACAAATGTTGGTGAGCACGTGGAGGAATTAGAACCCTTGTGCATTGCTGGTGGGAATGTGAAATGGCGTTGTTGCTATGGAAAATGGTGTGGTGATTCCTTAAAAATTAAACATAGAATTACCAAATGATCCAGTGATTCCCCTCCTAGGTATATATCCCAAAGAAGGGAAAGCAGGGTCTCAAATAGATACTGTATACGCATATTCACAGCAGCATTATTCACAGTAGCCAAATGGTAGAAGCAACCAAGTGTCAACTGATGGATCAACTAAACATTATATATATATATATAAAATATATACACAATGACGTACTATTCAGCCTTAAAAAGGAAGGAAATTTTGACACATACTTCGACATGGATGAATCTTAAAGACATTATGCTAAGGGGAACCAGTGACAAAAGGACAAATGTTTATGATTCCATATATATGAAGTCCTTAGATTAGCTGGGGGAGGGAGGGATGGGGAGTTAATGTTTCAGGAGGATACAGTTTCAGTTTGAGTAGATGGAAAAGTTCTGAAGACAGATGGTGGTGATTGTTGCACAACAAGGTGAAAGAAATGAATGCCACCAAAACTATATACTTAAAAACAGTTTAAGTCGTAATACTTGTTATGTATATTTTACTATAATTAAAAAAAACAGGCAGAAAGATCTTACACTACCTCCCCACTTTCTCCTAACGGGTAGCTTACATACTACTCCAAAAGGAAAAATCCTGAGAGTGAGTCCTAGAGGGAAATATCTCTGAAGACAGCTTCTCCAAGGTGGGGGAGGGAAGCCCTGGGGGAAGGGTAGAGAAATCCTAGTCTAAGAGTTCCTGGGACTTGATGTCCAGGCAGCTCACCTCTCCTAGCCTCTGTCCTTGGTGATCATGACTGATGTCCTTCCCAGGCAGGCAGAGTGCGTCACTGAAGCTGAAACTCCTTGAAAATAACACTGCTTAGAATGGTTGCTTCTAATACTGTTGATGGACAGCTTCCTACATAAATAATACATGCAAATCTTGAAGTGCAGCTCCCAGTCACAATGTAATAAATGCTTTGATGAATCAAATCATCCTTGTGGCAATAACCTCAATTGACACGATTATTATTCAGCTCTGTAAGTGAGGCTGAACATTTGATCCATTTGATGCATACGCCTACCTTCATTGGCTCCTAGGCTGTGCTCTGGCTTTCCTAGATTTTTTTTTTTAAGTCTTATCAGTTTCTTAGTGCTTATAGTAACTGTAAGGAGTATAATATGAACCACCCTACTTTTTACAAAAAGTATATCAGTATCTGTAAGAAAGAAAAATTTAGCTTAAACCGAGGAAGTAAAAATCTGTGTGGCTTTTCATCAGGCTGGAATAACAGAGGTAGACAAAGCCATTGTGAAGTGTCATAGCACCCCCTTTCTTTGAGTCAATATTGCCCTTTTTATGCATTGAGAAAATTTGTTCTATAAAATCAATGACAACTGGAAACTTTGGTGTTTAAAACTATGTCAGTAAGAACATCCCACTCTAAAGGTGAGGATCTAAGTAGCTTAGACTACTAAAACTGAGAGGCTGCCTCAATTTTCAACCCAGGCAGTGTCAGATAAGAGGTCTCTGAGCACAACAGGCTACGTCAGTCATAACCGTGGTTTCCAGGACCCGGGTCCACTTTGCTGTCCAAACCTGATTTGACCCCTTTACTCACAGCCCTGCTTTGCTCTGAGCCTGCCAAAACCCCGCTTCATTTAGATGTCACCCAAGCTCTACTCTTTTCCTAAATTCTATAATAATGCTGGGTATTTTTGCCCCTTTGGTGAAACACCCATGGTTTCTCTGGTGTGCGGTCTCCCTTGCCTTGGGACTACGGATGTGTCCTACGTGACCCTGGGCTGATTGGGCTGAGACAATAAAAGCCTCAACTGAAAAAAAATTTGCCAATCAGGATTTAATTTGTGTGTGTGTGACCACAGGTAAAGCAGTTCTTGCAGGGTCTCTAAGTTGTAGAATATTCCCTACTCTTCGCGCATTTTAAAAATTTCATTCATTCATTTATTACTGAGGTTGAGTTGACATACAATATTATGTTAGTTTCGGGTCTACTACAGAGTGATTTTACATTTGTATACATGCTGGAATGACCACTGCAATAAGTCTAGTAATCATCTGCTCCCAGGCAAAAGCCGTTACAATAAGATTGACCCTATTCCCCGTGCTGTGTAGTGTGTTATACCCTCGTGGCTTATTTAGTTTATAACTGGAAGTTTGGACCTCTTAATCCTCCTCACCTATTTCACCCAACCCCTCCTCCCCAGCCCCTCAGGCAACCATCCATTTGTTCTCTGTATCTCTGAGTCTATTTCTGTTTGGGTCAGTTTGACCCAGAGCTTCACATTCCAGGAATTTATTTTGTAGAATTAAGGAAGCTGAATTCTATTTCGTAGAATTAAGGAAATGGCTGAGACCCATTTGCCTTTTTCACAACACACCTTCTATTGAATTCCAGGAGGCCACCAGCAAGACTGAGCCACAAGGGGTAGTGATGTCTTCACGAGGTCCTAGTGGTCCAGGGTCTGGTGAGTTGGCTTTGTGTGTTATTGTCAAATCATTCAAAAACTGATTCACAGTTATGGAAATCTTAAGAACATGAGCTAGAAAGAAATGTAAGTTCATTTATGTACCTAGAGAAAATGTCACTGCTAAGATGACTGGAATCCTGGGCTGGCGTAATCAGCAAATTTCTGCTATACAGGAAGGTATACATGGGCATCATAAAGAATTTATGTTTTTTAGTTTGGCTTATTTCCCTTAGCAGAATATCCTCAAGGTTCATGCATGTTGTGGCATGCATCAGAATGTTCTTTCTTTTTAATGCTGAATAATATTCCATTGTGTAGAAAGACCATATTTTGCTTATCCATTTATCCATCAGTGGACATCTGGGTTGTTTCTACCTTTGGCTGTTGTGAATAAACATTTGGCTTTTGCTGTTAACATTGGTGTACAAACATCTGTTCGAGACTTTGCTTTCAATTCTTTTGTGTATATACTCAGAAATGGAGTTGCTGAGTCATGTAGTACTTCTGAGTTTAATTTTTGAGGAATCACCATACTTTTTTCCACAGTGTCTACACCATTTTACATTCCCACCAATAGTGCATAAGGGTTGCAATTTCTCAACATCTTCATTAACACTTGTTGTTTTCAGTCTTTTTTTTTTTTAATCATAGCCATCCTAATGGGTGTGAAGTGGTATCTCATTGCAGTTTTGATTGCATTTCTTTAATGATTAGTGATGTTGAACATTTTTAAGTG